AGCTTCCTGAGTAGCTGCTGGGATTACAGGCATGTGCCAGCACGCCCGGCTAATTTTTGTATTTTTAGTAGCGACGGGGTTTCACAATGCTGGCCAAGCTGGTCTCGAACTCCCAACCTCTGGCAATCCGCCCGCCTCAGCCTCCCAAAGTGCTGGGATTACAGGTGTGAGCCACCATGCCTGGCCGAAATGTGTAGTTCTTCTTTTTTTTTTTTTTTTTTTTTGAGACGGAGTCTCGCTCTGTCGCCCGGGCTGGAGTGCAGTGGCCGGATCTCAGCTCACTGCAAGCTCCGCCTCCCGGGTTTACGCCATTCTCCTGCCTCAGCCTCCCAAGTAACTGGGACTACAGGCGCCCGCCATCTCGCCCGGCTAGTTTTTTGTATTTTTTAGTAGAGACGGGGTTTCACCGTGTTCGCCAGGATGGTCTCGATCTTCTGACCTCGTGATCCACCCGTCTCGGCCTCCCAAAGTGCTGGGATTACAGGCTTGAGCCACCGCGCCCGGCCAATGTGTAGTTCTTAAGTGTAGAGTTTGAGTTTCAAAAAACGCCCGGCCTGTATAATGGCTTTATTCAGATATTTATATACCATATATTTAATTCACCCACTTAAAGTGTAAAGTTCAGTTGTGTTTTGTGTACTCACAGAGTTGTGCAATTCTCAACACAATCAATTTTAGAATTTTTTCATCACTCCAAGAAGAAACTCGGCCGGGCGCGGTGGCTCAAGCCTGTAATCCCAGCACTTTGGGAGGCCGAGACGGGCGGATCACGAGGTCAGGAGATCGAGACCATCCTGGCTAACACGGTGAAACCCCGTCTCTACTAAAAAATACAAAAAACTAGCCGGGTGAGGTGGCGGGCGCCTGTAGTCCCAGCTACTCGGGAGGCTGAGGCAGGAGAATGGCGTGAACCCGGGAGGCGGAGCTTGCAGTGAGCTGAGATCCGGCCACAGCACTCCAGCCTGGGTGACAGAGCGAGACTCCGTCTCAAAAAAAAAAAAAAAAAAAAAAGAAAAAAAAAAAAGAAGAAGAAACTGCACACTCATTAGCAGTCCATGTTTCCCTGACTACCTTCACCCTTACTACAGCCCTCAGCAGCTGCTAATCTCCATTTTTTTTCTTCTAGATATTTCATATAAATGTATTCATGGAATATGAATGGAATATTCCATGAATATTCATGGAATATGCCCTTTTGTGACTGGCTTCATTAACTTAGCATAATGTTTTCAAGGTTCATTGATGTCATAGTGTGTATCAGAATATAATTCCTTCTCGTGGCTGGTATTCCATTGTTTAGGTATACCATATGTTTTTTATCCATTCATCAGTTGATGGACATTTGGATTTTTTTTTTGATATCATGAATCATGTTTCTGTGAATGTTTGTATATAAGTTTTTGATGGATATAAATTTTCATTTCTCTTGAATATATACCTAAGAGTGGAATTGCTGAGTCATGGTAATTGTGTGCTTATCATTTGAGGAACTGCCAGGCTGAAGTGCTTGTACCATTTTACATTCCCACAAGTAGTGTATGAGAGTTCCATTGTCTCCATATTCTCACAAACACTTACTGTTATTTGTCATCTTGATTGTAACTATCTTAATGGTTGTAAAGTATCTCATTGTGTTTTCAATTTGCTTTTTCCTGATGACTAGTGACATTGAACATCTTCTTATTTATTGGCCATTTTCTTTGGAAAAATGTTTATTCAGATCTTTTGTCCATTTTAAAATCATGTTATTATTGATTTGTAAGGATTTGTAAACGTTCTTTATGTATTCTAGATACAAGTCCCTTATGATTTGCAAATATTTTCTCCCATTCTGTAAATTGTCTTTCTACTTTCTTGGTGGTAGCCAATAAAGTGCAAAATGTTTTAATTTTGATGAATTCCAGTGTATCTGTTTTTTCTTTTGTCACTTGTGCTTTTGGTCATATTTAAGGCTTTACCTAACTCAAAAGTCATGAAGATTTATTCCTGTATTTTCTTCTATATTATGCTCGTTCTTAAACTTTATATAGATGGAATCATATCGTCTGTACTCTTTTGCACCTGGCTTCTTTCATTCTACCTAACATCTGTAAGATTCATCCATGTTGATGCACGTATCAGCAGTTTATTTCTTTTTATTGCTGAGTAGTATCACACAGAATGAATGTGCCACAGTTTGATCACTTATTTTTCTGAACATTTGGATTGTTTCTGATTTGGGGCTATTGTGAATAAAGCTGCTATGAACTTTCAGCTTTGTACATATGTTTTCATTTTAGTGCTGGACCATATGGAAATGTATTTAACTGTATGAGGAATTATCAAGCAGTTCTCAAATGTGTTATACGATTTTATACTTTTAATATTGATAGAATTGCTTCCGTCCTGGCCAACATTTGGTATGGTCAGTCTTTAGAATTGTAGCCATTCTAATATGTATATAGTTTGGTTTTAATTTGCATTTCCCTTGGTGACTAAAGATGTTAACATTTTTCAAGTACTTATTGGCTATTTGATTATCTTGTTTAGAAAGTATCGGTTTACATCTCTTACTCATTTTTTGAAGTGTGGTGTTTGGTTTCTTTAAGACTGGTTCATATATTCATATGCTATCTTTTGTCAGATTCCTGTATTTAGACTTCTTTTTTTTTTTTTTTGCCTTAGTCTCTGGTCTGGCTTGCCTTTTCATTTTTTAAAATAGTATCTTTTGAGGAGCACAGCTCTTTAATTTTGGTGAAGTCCAGTTTTTAAATCAATTTTTTCTTTTGTAGTTACTGTTTCCTTATGTCCTGCAAACAAATTTTTGCCTACCCCAAAGGTTGTGTGAATAGGTTTTCCTATATTTTGTTTTTAGGAGTTTTATAGTTTTGTTATATTTGGGCTTATCTATTTTAAATCATTTTTACATATGAAATAAGATAAAGCAGAGACAGTATCTTTAAATAGTGTAATGTCTTGAGATATTTTATTTGTAAACGTTCCACACAGCTTTGTATAATTGGATGTGCTATTTCAGTGTTCTTAGAGAGTTAACTGCTTAATCTTCTCTAACTCATGAATGCTATGAATTCACTTGATATTCATGCCTGTCCTAGAACCTGTATTAATAACTCAGCAATCCAAGACTTTTTGACTCTCTAAAAGCCTTCTATATAGGTGCTGCTTCATCTATACTTGGATTACAGCTCGAACTTAGGTTTAACTTAGGAAAACCATTATTTTCTTTGAACTGCATATCTCTGTTGATAGTGATGCAGTTTAATTGAGACGTAGCAAGCAGTCAGTAAATAAGTGAAGCAGATAACTAAGATTCAGGTTATTTCAGTAAAATTTGTTTCTCTATTGCATTTACAATTCTTAGGGTTTAGAATCATGTGGAAAATTACCTATGTAAACTAATTTTTCCATAAGATATATTATGGACTTAGTGAAATAATATGTATTTTAAAACAGTATTTAAAGTAAAACATCATCATTAATTCTTTTTTCGTCTTTTTCTTTTCCTCAGAGACCTCGTTCTGAATTCTTTTTTTCAAGTAAAATTATTTATAGTAATTAGTTCATGCTCACTTTGGCTGTTTGGTATGTTTTTATGTTTTTAGCAGTATTTGGGAAATTTTATTTTAATTATTGTTGCCATGAAAAGATATTAAAATTTCCCTCAATAAGGATAGAGTTTGTTTGTTCAGTTTATACTATTGTGTTATTTAATATGACATACCTGGAATTTGGAATTTTAAAATTTGGACTTAGGATTTTATTTCATTTTGATAGTTAATATGCTTTGCATTGAGCTAAATGTTCTAAGGGGTATAAAGATGAGTAGCATATAAATCTGGCTCTCAAAGGGTGGTTCTATAATCTGTTAAATAGGATTTGACCTCTATATGTTTATTTTCTTTCTCAGCTTTTGTATTTTATGAATTAGTATTGTGAGCATTTGTTGTACCCAAAGCAGGTGACTTTTCCTGAAGAATTACTGGAAGTGAGTAGTAGCTGTGTTAAATAGAGCCACATTTTCCACCTTCCTTTTAGCTGGTGCATATGTGAAAGAAATAAAAGACTTAATGTAGTGATTAGTCATGGATTGGATCTTGGAAATTATCTTAACCCATCTTTGAACAGATAAGGAGGAGGCCTAACATGGGGTTGCAAGCTCAAAAGTCAACAGGGATCTTATGAGTGAGGAGGTCCCAGTTTAACAGTGTAAGCCTAGTAATAAATAGCAGCGTTAGCTGGCCTGAGTTTTAGGGGAAACTGTAGGGATTATGGAAAGTGAGCAGATTAAAGTCCTTCTGCATTTGAAGGAAGAAGCTCCCATGCAGCTATATCCTGTTTTTACTGTGCAGAAATATGGACCGGTTTTGCCTTATCTTTTTATTTTTCAAGATAATCTAGAATTATAAAGTATAAATGCATATAAACAAATATGTGAAATCCTCCAATTTTAATATATTAGTAATAGCTCAGTTTTTATACAAACACTGCATGGGCTAAATAAATGCTTTTTGGGCAGATTGGTTATGCATGTGTGAAGAGAAATGAAAAAAGAAAAGTGATTTGGTTAATTTTGGGGGCTCTGCCTTACTTTTAAACCTTAGACACATTGTAAACATTTTAGGATTAGTTATTTCATAGATTTGTTATACCTCTTCCAAGTATAAGTTCTTTTTTCCTGAAGCCTACCCAAATACTTTTCTCATCAGATTTCCCCTAATTTGAATTTTTAATGGAGATGAAGGGAAATTATAATGGGGCTAGTAGCTCAAAAAGTTGTAACATAATTTGCTTTTTCAAATTTTCAAACTACTATGATAGGTGAAAAAAATATAGCGGTAATTTTATTGATGCTGACCAAAATTTATTTAAATTACGTATATTATTAAAACTATATTTTAAAACAGTGGTTAAATTGCAGTAATAAAGCTCTAAGTATCATCACTGCCTCTTCTAATATCACTGTCAGATTAGATCTTGAACAGTTTTTAATTATGTTTTAGATTGTTAGAAACGGATAGTAAGTCTTTAAGATCTGTAAATGGGTCAAGAAGAAACAGTGGCTCTTCTCTTGTGTCGAGTTCTTCAGCCTCTAGCAACCTCAGTCACCTTGAAGAAGATTCTTGGATTCTTTGGGGAAGAATTGTTAATGAATGGGAAGATGTACGCAAAAAGAAGGAAAAGCAAGTTAAGGTATTCATGTTCTTTGTTGAAGTTCTTATTCTAAAGTGCGTCAGACATAACTTAATAGAGGGTTAGAAACCCCCACCCCCCCAAATATAACTTCCAAGCTATGTATTAAAGAGGTCCGCTTTATTTGTTTTCACTTACTTGTACCCCTGGAAGTTTTAATTTGTAGACATCAGTTGTTACAGAGGTCCTGATAATGTAGAAATATATAACTGAAAATTATTTTATTTACTTATTATTTTATAGAGACTCACTTTGTTACTCAGGCTGGAGTGCAGTGGTGCAATCATAGCTCGCTATAACCTCGAATTTCTGGGCTCAAGCGGTTCTCCTGCCTCAGGCTCCTGAGTAGCTATGACTACTGGTGTGTGTCACCACACCTGGATAATTTTTTATTTTCACTTTTTTGTCGAGATAGGATCTTGCTTTGTTGCCCAGGCTGATCTCAAACTCCTGGCCTCAAGCAGTCTTCCTGCCTTGGCCTCCCCAAGTGTTGTGAGCTACCGCACCTGGCCCGAAAATTGTTTTAGAAGTTAAATTCTCTCATTTTATCGATTCAGAAATGAAGTTGTGACATACTGCATTCTTGATAACAGTATTTTACTTTCTTTTTTTTTTTTGCCTTCAACAGCCCTTTGAATGATGGGTACTGTACTGTCATTCATAGCTCTGCAGGTTTCAAGTCCATTACCTTAAGAGGCCACACACTGAGGTGAAGTGACCATTATTAATCCCCTGACCAGAACAGGATACACCCAGGGCCCAATCTTACCCTTGACTTACAGGGTTCCCTAGTCTTCTTATAAAGCTAGCTTTGTGAGTCAAAAATTTAATGAAGTCTACCGCTTCATTCCAACCCCCTAATAAGTCTTCCTTGGCTTGCAAGATAGGAGACTTAAATAATTCATTTTTATAATTTTATTTTATTTTTAGGAACTTGTTCGTAAAGGGATACCCCATCACTTTAGAGCAATAGTTTGGCAACTTTTATGCAGTGCACAAAGTATGCCAATTAAGGATCAGTATTCAGAACTCCTGAAAATGACCTCGCCTTGTGAAAAATTGATCCGAAGGGACATTGCTAGAACTTATCCTGAACACAACTTTTTTAAGGAAAAAGATAGCCTTGGACAGGAGGTTTTATTTAATGTAATGAAGGTAAGTTTTATTTATTCATTTTTGAAATGAAATTAATTCCTGGAAGGTTGAAATTATACATTTTTCACGATGAGGCATGACCTCCCACCGCAATAATCAGTTGCTTTAGCAATGAAATTGGTTTTAGCATTATTTTTGCATTAATTCTGATGCTACATTACTGTCTAGTGTAGAGAACTTGTTAGAACATTTACTACATTATTCAGCATTAGTTGATGGAAATGGAATAGCTTAATCAATCACATACCATAGAGGGATCCTCATAAAAATGGATAATTCACCATCTGTAAAGTTCAAAACCTGGGATGTGGGTTTCTCCTATCATCTCTGCATTCCTACAGTTAGCAAATTTTTCTGCTTGCTATGACCAGCATTGTTAAGAGCACTTAGCCCTTGAAAGGTGTACCATTGACATTTTTTCTTCAATATTACCATTTCTCTTCCCACAGTTACTTTTTATTTCAGCTACCTCTGTGAAATACTGATTTCTTGTTAAATCATTTCAATTTTGCCAATCCTTTGCTTTAAACCTAGTCTAGTTTTATCTACATCAATATAAATTTTACTTGATTTTTTTTTTGAGATGGAATTTCACTCTTGTTGCCCAGGCTGGAGTGCAGTGGTGTGATCTCAGCTTACTGCAACCTCTGCCTCCCAGGTTCAAGCGGTTCTCCTGCCTCAGCCTCCCTAGTAGCTGGGATTACATGCGCCTGCCACTACACCCAGCTAAATTTTACTTTTAGTAGAGATAGGGTTTCACTATGTTGGCAGGCTGGTCTCGAACTCCTGACCTCAGGTGATCCACCTGCCTCCGCCTCCCAAAGTGCTAGGATTACAGGCATGAGCCACCATGCCTGGCTCAATTTTACTTGATGTTTAAGCCCTGTTACAAATTCCTGTATTTTATTTTATTTTATTTTATTTTATTTTATTTTATTTTATTTTATTTTATTTTATGTCTTTAGGAGCTACCAAGTTTGGATTGGGAAATTGTCAAAATAAAAATTTCATGTAATAAAACATTTGCTTTTTAAATATGTATAGGGTAACATCTATAACAAGCAAGCAAGAGCTTTTCTCAAAAATAAATGGTCTTTTAATCTGCCTGTCTTGCCAATTTTAGGTTTTTTGGAGAAGGAAGGTATAACTTACCATGTATTTTGAACAACTTTTTTTTACTTTTTAGGCTTATTCTTTAGTAGATCGTGAGGTTGGTTACTGTCAAGGAAGTGCTTTTATAGTTGGATTGTTGCTTATGCAGGTAAGTTAATATAAGTATTAAATGTCCAATGAAATTCTTTATTAAAGTTGGATTGGAGAGTTTAAAAAACATCTTTGTTTTTATTAAATATAAGTGGATATGGGTATTTTTTCCTAGGCATAATTTGAATACAAATATTTAGTTTGCATTTTAAAAGATTAAACGTGTTAAAATAACATACAATAATATCTTACCACCAAATGAAATTTCAACTTAATGATGTATACATTTTTACTACAATATTCTACTAAAGCTTGTATCTACAGTAGTTTAAAATCTTATTTGTTAACATTTAATGAAGAGTAATCTTTTTCTAACCAAGGAGGGAATAATTAAAGTGTTGGTAAGAAAATCTTGTTTATATTGTAGAATATCTTTAGAGATTTGTAGAGAATTTAATTTATCATGGAGCTAAAAGCTCATTATGCATACCTCACTGTATGCTCTAAAATAGTGGTACTCAGCCACTTTTACTCCATAAGGATATAACTTTGTTATTGAGTAATTGTGCAGTGGGTTTGGGTGGGATGTTTTCAGAATTCAGGGGTAGGATAATCATAGCTTTGAAGGGAAATGGCATATAGTATTATCTCTTCAACTTTGTTGAAATGTTAAGTCCGTGTTAGTCTTTATTTAGTCTCAGATTTTAGTCCTGAAAAGGAATCATGGAGATACTTGGTTTGAGTCATATAGGGTGGTTTTGCAACTCAGTTCTGCACATGCTGTATGAATTTAGACTAGATTATTTAACCTCTCTCTGAGCCTTAATAAGATAACACTATCTACTTTCAGATTAGTTGTGAGGGTTATTTGAGGTAATGTATGTGGAAGCCTAGCATGGTGTTTGGCCCATAGGAGATAGGCAGTGAAAGTTCAGTGATTTACCCAAGATCATGCATCCTGGTAGATAAAAGCAAAGCAGGAATCACAAACCGTTTTCTGATGCTTTGCTTCAGTTTCCCAACTGCTTTGAGTTTTAAAGCTCTGTTGCTGTCAGGAGTATACACACCCCTCTTTTCTGAGTAGAATAAACCTCATGTCAGAGACACTGGTTAATAATAAAAATAATTTTTACTCTGTGTTATAGCATATGTAAGAACACATAAGAAGTGCTCCCAGTGGTTATTGATTTCTAAGTGGAATTAGGTTATAAATAATACAGTGCAAAACTAGGTTTGTTAATGTTGAGGTATAGTTGTTTAACAAAATTACGATTTTCCAGCTTTGCGCAGTGACAATATCGTAGCCAATGAGGTTTATCTGAGGCACAATTATTGCTAATTGAAATTACGATTTTCCTACTTTGATTGTTTAGTACTGGTAGATCCTTCATTATTGAACTCAGACATCCTTATTATCAGTCTAGTGATTTTTGCTGCTGTTCTGTTCCTTTTATTTTCCTGTTAGCTCCACAATGACCTTTTAGTAGTCATTTCTTTTGGGCATCTAAAGAGCAGTTTTTCTCTGCTTGAGGTCTGGATCTCTGAACAGCTGACCTAGCTCTCTAGGAATCCTGTGGGTCCTGTGAATCCTCAAGGAATCATGGTTTCCTTCAAGACAGGGCAAGCAGTGGTGGTAGAAATACTAACTACAATAAGTATTATTACCACCATTGGAGTAATAAATAATATTTTGGTGATTGATCTACTTAGCTCTTGTCAGTGGCAGCAATATATTAACACAACAGTAGTCACTTATGACCCAGGGCCATAAGGTAGAAAAGCTCCTCTTTTTGTTTCTGAAGTTTATGCTCACATCTTATGGTATATTGTTCTCCCATAACTTCAGTTTAGAAATGTAACTCAGAGTCTGATAAAATTTGCAAAGTTAGTACATATTGTATCAAAATGGTTAAAAGTGTTGGATATGTATGTTTTGTGTATATCTCACTCCTATAAAATTAGGTATATTGTCTGCATTAGACCTTTGCAAAAGACATGGATTCTTATCAGCTCAGAGTCACAGAGAAAGTATGTAGCAGCACATTGCTCTAGGACTCAAGCATCTTGATTTCTTTCTAATGGAAAGGAATGACTATAAAACAACTTGGTATATGCCACTCCGTGTCACATTTTTTCATTTTGTCGCCATGGTTTCAATTTTTTTGAGAAGGACCTAGTGATACTTTTTCTGTCTCCTTTTCCTCTTTTTCCAAATTACCTCAACTTAGTTTTTAAAATGTTGCCATTAAAAAAATTCTCCTCTATTTCCCATATTAATGCTATTGCAAAGAGGAGAGGGAATGAAACTTGTTTTGATATGTTCAGAAAAGAAGAAATTGTTGTAAGACAAAAAGGGAAATTATAATTACATACTCCATAATGACATTTTGGTCAACAGTGGAATGCATGTATGATGGTGCGCTCCTAAGATTATAAACCCTATTTTTACTTTGCTTTTTCAATGTTTAGATATACAAATATGTGCCATCATGTTACAGTGGCGTACAGTATTCAGTACAGTAACATACTGTACAGGTTTGTAGCCTAGGAGCAATAGGCTATATAGCATATAGCCTAGGTGTATAGTAAGCTATATGATGTAGGTTTGTGTAGGTGCACTCTATGATGTTCGTACAATGATTAAATCGTGTGAGGACATATACCTCGGTAATCTCTGTCCCCTTCCAGTGCTGTGGGAGAGAAAAGAGAACACAACTACCTTAGGAGAGAGCCAGGTTTCAGTGTTGAAATATTCTTAAGGGAAATCCAGATTTCAGCTAAAGAAAGAGAGCAACATTTGGAAAAGAGATTGAGGATATAGGTAGACTATTGTGTTCATGGTAGGATATGGGTTCCAGAAAATGCTGTGGAAAAGATTTAGGAAAGATTGGAAATGGGGTCAGATTAGGGGAGCAGTAAAATCATGTAGGATGAGAGTCCTGGGATTTGGGGCTTCTCGTAGTGACTGACATAATTCAGTGGGACTGTGGAGCTTGATATAATTAATAGAGATAACCTCCAAAGTAGAATTGTGGCCATGTGTGTTGAGAGGAAAGAAGAAGTGCAGGTTTTGCCAAGAGTAACTCTTGGCTCCTGTCCGTGGCTGTGTCAAGGCCGGGAAAGTGTCTTGTTATTAGCAGCAGTCTTCAGCAAGAAGAAGGCCTGGAGATCTTTTGGGATGTTCTCTTTTGAAACACACTGGTATAATGGGAATGAATGAGAATTAGCAAATTTTATTATTTTGAGAAAGATGGCTTAACACTTTGGGTAGTTACTTGCCTAAGTATTCTGAATATCTTTGTAGCTCTTTACAGAGCTTTCATATTGATTATCTTATTTGATATGATTTCCTGGTGATTTACACATAAAATATGAAATTGGTAACTTTAAACCCCAATTTCAGATAATATGAAAACATAATTAACATGTCCTTTTGATACTTGCACCATGTCATATGACTTTTTGCTCAGAATCCTCAAAAAACCTTCTCTCTCGCTTAAGGTAAAAGTCAAAATCCTTACCATGGCCTCTACAGCCCTCTGCATTTTGGTTCCCTGTTATTTCTCCTCCATGACGTAAGCTTCACTCATAGTATTCTAATTTAGTAGTTCTCTATTTGCTGTTTCTTGAGCATGCCAAGTGTGATTCCATTTTAGGACCTTTGTACTCTTTGGTCTTCTGGAACTGTTCTTTCCTCAAATGCTCCCTTGCTTTCTTCAGGATTCTGCTCAACTGTTACCGTATCAGGGGACCTTTCCTGATCTACATCAATAGCCGTGTGTCTCCCCAGCATTCCCTGTTACCCTACATTGTTTTATTTCTGTAGCATCTGTCACCATCTGCCATACATATTAGTTGATTTATTCCGTGTCTTGTCTGCCTCCCTCCATTAGAAAGTTCAGATTCCTTGAGAATAGAGATTGTGTTTATTTTGTTCACTGCCGTATACCCAGAGAGAGAAAAGTATCTGGCTATAAATCAGTATTTGTTGGTTGAATTAATGAATGAGGCAAGTTGAGACAGTTGGTTTCAGAGATTGTAAGATTTGTTTAACTTCTCGTTCTTGGTGATGGAATGGGAGACTAGAACTTTCTGATTCTTAGCTAATTGCTCTTAGCATTGCAGCACACAGCCACTCAAACAGTGCTTATGGTTGGCTGGGTACTTAGTTTAAATATCATTGGTTTATTTGTGTATCATAGAACATTAACCTATGTTGTTTTTTTCCTTCCGATGCAGATGCCAGAAGAAGAAGCTTTCTGTGTATTTGTTAAATTAATGCAAGATTATAGACTTCGTGAACTTTTTAAACCAAGTATGGCAGAATTGGGCCTTTGTATGTACCAGTTTGAATGTATGATACAGGTAAAAGTGCAGTGTTGATAAAAAGGCATATTGCTGTTGTATTTTTTATATCTTGTTCTGAGTGCCAACTGATCAAATTTAATGTTAAAAGCGTTAAAGCAGTTGAATGTGTAAGTGTTTTAATTACATGATTTTTTTTTTGGTTGGTTTATGTATGATTTGACCCTTCACATTAGGTAGATCACAGTCTAGAACTTGACTCCAGTTTTCGTATTCAATCCTTAAGCATTTCTGCCAAATGTATTATACACCCCTTACGTAAGCACATGAATTTCCTTATTATATCCTATTATTGTTACATGGTCTAAGCTCTCTTACAGGAGCTTTATGATATTATCACACTGACATCAGTCCCCTTATTTTGAGACTCTATCTCTTTGAGTCCTCTCCTCTGCTTTTTTACTTTTATTTTATTTTTATTTTTTACTAGCCCGTAATTTTTTTTCCTGTAATGTTTTCTTTTTATGTTGCTAGTTTAAGACTCAAGTTATCTAGTGACTGAATGAAGGTGGAGAGAATAGGAGCAGAATCAAAATCAAGGGAAAAATACCTTTGAAGTATTTTACCTTTCTGGATTTAATTTTTATATTTTGTATATTTAAGTTTGCTATAATGTAAATATTTTCACTTATTTCAATTTCAATTTCAATTAAATGAGCAGAATTTAAGAAAATAGGCTAATGAATCAGCTGGCATGGGAGCCATTTTTATTAGTTTCCTGTCTCCTGGCAGCCTTATAAACTCCAATTTTTTCTATCTATGGTGGGAGCAAGGGGATATGTAAAATGTTCTTACATTTTATTTTTTATTTATTCATTTATTTATTTTTGAGATGGAGTCTCGCTTTGTGGCCCAGGCTGGAGTGCAGTAGCGCAATCTCGGTTCACTGCAAGCTCTGCCCCCTGGGTTCATACCATTCTCCTGCCTCAGCTTCTCGAGTAGCTGGGACTGCAGGTGCCCACCACCACAACCGGCTAATTTTTTGTATTTTTAGTACAGACGGGGTTTCACCGTGTTAGCCAGGATAGTCTCGATCTCCTGACCTCCTGATCCACCCACTTTGGCCTCCCAAAGTGTTGGGATTACAGGCGTGAGCCACTGCTGTGCCCAGCTGATTTTTTAATTGACATACAATAGTTGTACATTATGGAGTACATATTTTTTGTTTCTATATATTTTAAAGAAAAAGCCAGAATAGGTCTTGAGATGAATTTTTTTTTTTTTTTTTTTTTCTGAGACAGAGTCTAGCTCTGTCGCCCAAACTGAAGTACAATGACACACAATCATGGTTCACTGCCTCCTTGACCTCCTGGGCTCAAGCCATCCTCCTACCTCAGCCTTCTGTGTAACTGAAACTACAGGTGTATACCACTGCAACTGAATAGTTTTTTATTTATTTTCATTTTTTATTTTTAAATTTTTTGTAGAGACAGGGTTTCACTATGTTGTCCAGGTTGGTGTTGAACTCCTGGGCTCAAGTGGTCTTCCTATCTAAGCCTCCCAAAGTGCTGGGATTACAGGCATGAGCCGCTGTGGCTGGACTTGAGATTATTCTTAATTAATTCTTTTCTGAAATAGTAAGCTTGTTTTTAGCAGCCTTAAACTCTCTTAATGTTATATTTTTCAATTAATGTGTAATTTATGGCTGGATGCAGTGGCCCATGCCTCTAATCCCAGCACTTTAGGAGGCTGAGGTGGACAGATCACTTGAGCCTAGGAGTTTGAGACCAGCCTGGGCAACATGGCAAAACCTTGTCTCTGCTAAAAATAAAAAAAATTAGCTGGGTATGGTGGTGTGCACCTGTAGTCCCAGCTGCCTGGGAGGCTGAGATGAGAGGATTGCTTCAGCTTGGGAGGCAGAGGTTGCAGTGAGCCAAGATGACACCACTGTACCCTAGCCTGAGTGACAGAGTGAGACCCTGTCTCAAAAAAAAAAAAAAAAAAAGAAAGTCTTATTTATGTTTTGAATTACTAGACTTGCTGAAACATCTGTATTTTGAGTATTTTTCCTATTCTTTAGGAAGGTAAGAATGATCAATGGTAGATAGTGCCTGAAAGTATTTTAACATGACATTTCTTTTCTTTTTAAACGTCTTTTTGAAATATTATAGTTGATGGAAAAGTATAGAAAATATCAGTCACTCTTGTATCCACCAACAGGATTAAACAAATACAAAACTTTTATTGGTTTCTTTTTATTAATAAATTAAATGTTATACTCAAAATTCCAACTTCGCATTCTTTTCCCCTTGTTTCTTTCCTAGATACTAGCCACTGTCCCAAATGTTTCAAATTCTATGTCTTACGTTTTCCATATGATGCTTGATCTAATCTTTGTGTTTGGTATAGGCTGATCTAGTATAAATATAATGATCTAATTTGAAATACTCAGTTTTACTGTGTTATAACTAACTGTTTTCTTCTCTTTAGGAGCATCTTCCAGAGCTCTTTGTACATTTTCAATCTCAGAGTTTTCATACCTCAATGTATGCATCATCCTGGTTTCTGACTATCTTTCTTACAACTTTTCCACTACCAATTGCAACAAGGATATTTGATATCTTTATGTCTGAGGTAAGCTAATGGGCAGACAAAGAGCAGGAGCTGAGCAAAGGGGTCACTGAGTTAGTGAGAGCAGGGCAATGAGGAGAGCAATGAAGGAAAGCCATGTGTCCCATGCAAAACTGCTTACATGGATAATCCCATTTAAACCTTGTAATAACCCTATCAGGTAGATACTGTTTTTATTCCATTTGTTAGATGATAGATGAGGAAGTTGAGACTTAGAGAAAGGTTAAGTAGCGTGTCTGTGGACACACAATACATAAGTGGTGTTGTAACAAGGATTCAAACATAGGCAGTTTGGAGCCTACACTGTTAACCATACCTCTTTATCACCTCCTAACTAATACAGTGAAAGTTTGTGAGAGGTAAAATATTTGTCTTACAGTTAAAATTGTTGCAATGCATCTGTCATCCAAAGAGTAAGAAGTAATAAGCATGTTTCTTCTATTCTCTGAACACATTGCAGGTTATTGTCCTTTTGTCAGTAGTACATAGACTACTTTCTAGTCTGTGAACTCAGTGTTGCTATTAATTACATCTTGGGAAAATCAATTTGTATTACCTATCTAAATTAGTTCAGATCACAGTTGGCCACCTGTGATTCATGTCCCAATCAGATGGACAGATTTTTGTGCCAAATCTGTCCTTCCACACCTGTTTTTTATAAAGTTTTCCTAGAACACAACCCTGCCCATTTATTTATGTGTTGTGTATGTCTGCTTTGGGGTTGTAGTGACAGAGCTGAGTAATTTTGACAGACAGTATAGCCCATCAAATCTAAAATATTTGCTTTCTGACTCTTGACAGAAAATGTTTACCAGCCTCTAGTTTAGATCCCTAAATGCTTACCTTAGTATTATTTCAAATGACTTGTTTTTGTTGATGGAAGAGTAAGATAAATTTAGATTTATTTAATTTGTTTCCTCAGGGTTTAGAAATAGTGTTTCGTGTAGGATTAGCACTTCTTCAGATGAATCAGGCAGAACTGATGCAACTTGACATGGAAGGGATGTTACAGGTAAGTTCATAATTCCTTTTTTTGTTGTTGTTGTTTTTGAGACAGGGTTTTACTCTGTTGCCCAGGCTGGAGTGCAGTGGCATGATCTCGGCTCACTGCAACCTCCACCTCCCAGGTTCAAGTGATCCTTCCCCCGCCTCAGCCTCCTATGTAGCTGGAATTACAAGCGTGCACCACTACACCCGGCTAAGTTTTGTATTTTTAGTAGAAACAGGGTTTCACCATGTTGGCCAGGCTGGTCTTGAACTCCTGACCTGAAGTGATCCACCTGCCTCAGCCTCCCAAAGTGCTTCGATTACAAGCATGAGCCACCATGCCCAGCCCATAATTTCTTGAATGTCTTTGGATTTCACTATTAACAGCACTTAAGTCATTCTTATATTTTTCTTTTATTGTATCTTAGCACTTTCAAAAGGTCATTCCACATCAGTTTGACGGTGTCCCAGACAAGCTAATCCAAGCAGCTTACCAAGTCAAATACAACTCAAAGAAAATGAAAAAGTAAGTATTTTATATTTTTGTTGGAAATTCAGTGGAAGTTGCAAAACATTCTAGTGATACAGTTTTCCTCCTTAGGTTATAGAACTGTTTTATTTTTTTTGGTGGTATTAGTTTCATTATAACATAAAGCTAATATTAGAATATACTGCTTTTAATAGTGGTGCGTGGGACTAGCATGTACTACCTTTAAAACTTTCCTCCTTTTACCTGTTGACTAGAATTAGGAGCCTGGAATGGATATACATATATGAGGATGCTGTTATTTTTGAAACCACTTTTCTGGTGTGGTCCCATTCATTGACATTCTTTTCCTCTTAGTTTGACCCCAGAGTGTCACTTAAGTTCAAAATTAGCATAACCAGCAAGATAGACATGAGGTATGGATTGAGAACTTAAAAATTTATTTATTTATTTTAGAGACAGGCTTTTGCTCTGTCACCCATGCTGGAGTACAGTGGTGTGATCATGGCTGCTCACTGTAGCCTTGAAATCCTGGGTTCAGGTGGTCCTCCCACATCAGCTTCCTAAGTACGGGAAGTACCCTGTCTCTACTAAAGTACAGGTGTACTACAGGTGCACACCACCATGCCTGGCTAATTTAAAAAATATTTTTGTAGAGACAGAGTCTCACTGTGTTGCCCAGGCTGGTCTCGAACCCCTGGGCTCAAGTAATCCTCCCATCTCAACCTCCTAAAATGTGGGGATTACAGATGTTAGCCGCTGCACCTGTTCAAATTTTATTTATTGTGCTACTTTCTAATGAAGCTTTTTTTGGTATGCATGTCCTAAAAGTTCAAAATAAACAGTCTTGGCTCATTAGTTTTATTTTTGAAACAGATTAAGTGTATTAATTAAAATAATAGCCATGATTTCTCTAGCTTCCAGCACTTAATTCTTAACCTGTGGTCATGTACTTTCTATGGCATAAAATGCTTTGAAATGAAAACAATACTGTATGCTAGCAGTTAGCAGTTTCTTTTCTGCTGCAATATGAAATTACATTAACATGTACAACATACTACTCCCATGGATATTCCTACTCCACAAAGTATATTTAAATATGAGTGAGAATTTTGTTATTAAAATTAGTTAGCTTTTCCATGCACAAATGATGTGTAGTCCCAGCTACTCGGGAGGCTGAAGCAGGAGGATTGCTTGAGCTCAGGAGTTCACAATCAGCCTAGGTAACATAGTGATACCTTATCTCTTTAAAAAAAATTAAAAAGTTAGCTCTAATTGACAAAAGCAAGCTGAGCCAATTTTTTAGCTTCAACTTTTATTATTAATAAGTTGCTTGTGATGTTTTAAATAAGCACCATCATGTTGATACATTTTAAATAACTACCATCATGTGGAGACATCATATAGACCAAAAAGCTGCTGTGCCTTGTAACTGATAAAAATGAATTACCTCAATTTTTGTCACGTGGTAAAACCACATTGAACTCACACTAGCCAGGCAGAGAATTTATTTTACTTTAGAAGTCTGATAGAGAATGAGGTTCCTTAACCTTCTTGGTAACTAATTCTCCTTGTATAGATCTTGTCATATGTACAATCCATTTCTGAAATTTCAATTAATCCTGTTTACTTACCAGATTTCTGGCCCCCTAGTTCTTTCACTACCTTATTCATGCTCTCCCCATTCTGCTTTATCAAGATCTCTAGATTGAGGTGTAAAAGCCTTCTTCTGATATGAACAACTGTACTTCCTCTGCCCTTTTGTTTCCTGTATTCATGTAGCCAATTGTTGTTGCATAGTTACTGAGATTGCTGACAGTAAATTATGTTTCCAGTGGCCTTCCATGTGTGTTTATATTGGCTTTGATTAATTATCTGATTCCTCACAGTGGTTACTTCAAACCTTACCATTCTTCCCAAACTCCCATCCCCTTTTTGCCATACTTAACTCTCACCAGATTACCTTATTCCTAATTCAGCAATCATTTTCAAACTTCCTAAACTTGCTGTCTTCCAGCTTGTAGACTTAGCTATGTTCTTTTTATTCTCCTTGTAGAATACAGTATTTTTTTCCTTTATAATGCTAATTCAGAATACATGATGTTACTCATTTCCATCTCTTCCAGCTCCTTGCTCCATTAACTATTCCTTCTGTCTGCTATCTTCAATCTCTCTCTCTCTGTTGTTTCATTTTCTTCAATCTAAGAAAATAATTTTTAGTTCTGACTTAGAAGCAACAAAATAAAACCTTCCTCAACATAGCATTTCATTTTCCTTTTATGAAGCTTAGCTGTGAAGGAAACAATAGATTTTACTCATTAGCTACAGGTCACATTCTATTTGCTTTTTTTCACTTGGGAAAATTTTCAGACATACAGAAAAATAGAATAATAAATATCCATTGCTTATTGTCTGCATTTAACAATTGTTAATATTTTGTCATATTTATTTTTTTCAAAGTATTTCAAAGTAAATATTGTTAATATTTTGTCATTTATTTTTTTCGAAGTATTTCAAAGTAAAGCTCAGAAATTGTGACACTTTACTCTTTAATACGTCAGTATTCATGTCCATAAAGTAATTTGCCTCCTTTACCACATTGCTTTCACCACTTAACAGTAATTCCATAATATTGCCTAATACTCAGTCTATGTTCACATTTCCTCAGTTGTGCCAAAAATTTCCTTGCCATTGATTGCATTGTATTCGGTTGTTCACTTACATTTTCAAAAATTTAGATCAGCACTACCTATTCCAATCTTCCTTTTTAATATATTGACTTGTTGAAGAGACCAAGTCAGTTTTACGGAGAATATCAAACCTGAAGGATTCATCTGATTATTTTCTTGTCATCTCATTTAACTTCTGTATCTCTTGTGTTTTCTATAAACTGGGACCTAATGTGAAGACTTAATCTAATTAAGCATGAACATTTCTGGCAAGAGTACTTAATAGGTGATACCATGTACTTTATTCATCTTAAAAGATGTATAATGTCTGTCTCACTGTTATTAGAGATGCCATGATTGATGACTAGATTAAGGTAATGACAGATTTCTTTATTATAATAGCTGTGATGGCCCTCTTGGCACCTAGTAAGTACTTTGTAAGTTAGTATTTTGGCATCGTAAGAATATCCAGTTCCTTATGACTTTCCACCTCTTGACTCAGTCTGCTCAAAAGTATTATTGAGGGCCAGGCACAGTGGCTCACACCTATAATCCCAGTACTTTGGGAGGCCGAGGTAGGCAGATCACTTGAGGCCAGGAATTCAAGACCAGCCTAGGTAACATGGTGAAATCCTGTCTCTAAAGGAAAGAAAAAAAAAAAAAAGACCAAAAATTAGCCAGGTGTGGTGGTGTGCACCTTTAGTTCCAGCTACTCAAGAGACTAAGTTGGGAGAATCACTTGAGAAGTCAAGGATGCTAGTGAGCTGTGATTGCCTCACTGTACTTCAGCCTTGGCAACAGAGTGAGACTCTGTCTCCAAAAAAAAAGTATCACTGGGGATACTTTTCATGTTAAATTGTTTCATTTAGGATAACAAAAGCATGATTTTTAAAATGTCATTCTTCTTACTTTTATCAGTCAGCTTTCTTCATAACCTTTTCTTCTTTAACTGCAGCTAACTTCATTCTACTGGAAACACATATAAACACTTCATTATTTCAGCCAGGCATGGTGGCTCACACCCACAATACCAGCACTTTGGGAGGCCCAGGCAAGAGGATCGCTTGAGCCTGGGAGTTTGAGACCAACCTGGGCAACATAGCGAGACCCCATCTCTGCAAGAAATAAAAAAAGCTAACCAGGTGCCTGTAGTCCTGGCTTCTCCATAGGCTGAGGTGGGAAGATGGCTTGAGTCTGGAGTTGGAGGCTGCAGTGAGCTATGATCACAGCACTGCACTCCAGCCTGGGTGACAGAGTAAGACCCTCTCTCTTAAACAAAACAAAAAAACTTCATTAGTCCCTTTAATTACCAAATTCCAGAGAAAAGAGTTAGTGGGAATGGTATTCTTTTGAATTAGTCTATTCTTTTTCAGGGGGCATTATTAAGTTCTTACAGGCCTATATGCAGAATGTTTTAATGTTGCAAAGTAAGTTGTGTTGAACATCACAAAATTTTGCCGAAGTGACACTAGTTTATAGTCTAACCCAGCAGTTTATGAGTTCTTATTGTGGCCAGGTGCGGTGGTTAACACCTGTAGTCCTTTCACTTTGGGAGGCTGAGGCAGGCAGATTGTTTGCGCCTAGGAGTTTGAGACCAGCCTGGGCAACGTGGTGAAACTTTGTCTCTACAAAAAAATACAAAAATTAGCTGGGTGTGGTGGCACCAGCACACCTGTGGTCCTAGCTACTCAAGAGGCCAAGGTGGGAGGATCACTTGAGCCTGGGTGGTCCTGGCTGCAGTGATCCACGATTGTGCCACTGCACTCCAGCCTGAGTGACAGAGTGAGGCCCTGTCTAAAAAAATGGTCTCATTGTTCTACTTTGTCATCAGTGCTTGGTTATTCTTAATTTTTGCCAATCTGCTTAATTTTTATCAATCACAGGGGGCATTATTAAGGGCTTGCAGGCTTGTATTCAGAATGCTTTAACATTGCAAAGTAAGCTGTGTTCAGCATCACAAAATTTTGCCAAACTGACACTAATTTATGGTCTAACCTAGCAGTGTATGAGTTCTCATTGTGGCCAGTATAAAATGTCTCATTTTCTACTTAATTTACATTTCCCTGATTGTTAATAAGAGTAAGCATCTTTTCATACGTTTATTGGCTTCATATTTTTCTTCTATTTTTTTTTTCCTCCCTTTTCTCTTGCAGTGTCTACTTCATACTGCTTTGACTTCTTAGTGGTTGCTAGTTGTTTGTAATCTGGGTTGTAATCTTTTGTCAGTATTAAAAGATAAGTCTTGTTCATTTCTACCAAGTATCAGTCTTGGAATATATAATAAACTCACAACTGGACGTACCTCTCAAAAATACTCAAGCTTCCTGTTGGTTGGAGGGTGGCAGCACAGAAAAGTAAATGGTTTATTAC